CCATGAAAATTTTATTTACCTAAATTAACCCAACTGAATTTTATAAGGAGCCAGTCATTAAAAAGGTACGCAAAGTGATAACAATATTTAGAGAATCACCTACCAACACCAATCGCCTACCGACATCTTTCAAAAATTATTTATTAAGGCTGAATTTGGAAAACAACTGTCTTTAATATTGGGCTGCAAGACAAAGTCGAGTAGCATTCTGTTAATGCTTAAACAATTTTACAAAGTAAGAAATTTTATGCAAAAATTATTAACTGATATTTATCGAGTTCAAGTTTTGAAGCTCTGTCACATAATGAAGTAACAATTTTATCCAAGATTTTTACTTTTGTATATTACTATTGTAATTCTAATAAAAGCAACAATTGAAGCAATATGTCGCAATATGTCACAGGATGCTATTCTATTTACAGCCAACATTTCGCAATCAATTTTTAAAGATTTTTTTATTTTATTTTATTTTACTTCACCTCCTCAAGGCCGAGAAGGCCACTACAGACGAGGAGGTTACTTATTTTGTGGCTATAACCCTCTCTCGACTCTATAACTTCGAAACACGAACCTTGACGAACAAGGCCGCTGCGCGGAGAAACGAGTTGAGCGCGGTACTACCAGGGACGTGGTGGGTATCGAACTCGGAACCACTCGTTTATAAAGCGAGGGCTCTACCACTACACCACTACCGCAGATACTGGTAACAACACAAGTGTTATTGACAATATCTTTAAAATATGCGAACAGCTTTAATGGTTTGTATGCCTGAACACCACACTGATATGAGTGGACTTTTGCAATACCTACGTAACGGTCAAAGCTCTATTTAAGCCGATAAAGAAATAGTTACAGTGCCTTCATTATTTAAATGTCAAAAACTTTTGATTGAATTGGTCGAAAGATTAAATATTTCTATTCCTGCTCAAGTTACAAGTCTTATTTGTAAAATTTGTAAAACATGAATCTATTTATTAATGTTACAGACCATGTCATTTTTACAATACTTATGAAATTCACCTTTTTTTTAATGATAAGAAACACTTTTTTTGGCCTTCAGTTTTAAATTTAGGGCAATATGAGCCGTAAATGCCTTTTATTGAGAGAAACTCATGAGAGAATGACGCATTTATAACATAGTTTACTTTTAATCTCGTTCTTAGCTAACATAATTTCTTGGAAAGACAAACGTTAAACTACTATGGTTAACAGATGCAAAGTAACATAGCTTTATGTATTTACCTATAACAAAAAAGAGATTTTTACACTGACCTATGAAAAGTCTTGATTAATTTTAACTTGCTAAAGCTGCTTTCTGCACTTGCAATAGTTACTGATGTAAGTAAAAATGATTCGTAATGCATTAACTAGAGTAAGGTTTTTGCAGTTCTTCATTATAAATGTTTGCAAATTTTTGCAATAAATGGAGCATTTTCTATAAAGGCATTGATAAGACTCTCAGAATAGTAAAGAAGGTCATATAGCTTTGCGAGAATGTTTAAAACCTACTCTTACTGATGCAATTGATGCCCTTTTGGTTTATGTTTAAATAAATGTTTAAAATTACTATAAAACTATTTTTTTGACAATAATGCGTACGATTATAATTATTTATGTATAATAATTAACTTTTAATTAATTATAATTATATAAAATAATTAATTATAATTATTTATAAATAATATTTAACTATTATAAATTATTTAACCACCTATTTAATAATAAAAAAAAAATTAAAAAAAACTTTTCAATTTTTTAGTATGTTAGACTTAATCGACTGTATTGGTAACTTAATGTTATTAAAGAGAATTGTAACAAAAGAGAATCCCCAACGGGAATATAAAAAGGTTGTTTTAAAATTATAAAGTATCAAAATGAAGAGATTAACAGTTTGGAACAAACTTGGCTTAATTTTTTTCAAGATTAAACTAAAAAAAAGTGAAATAACTTTACGGGAATATAGATGCGCATTTTGTTTCAAAAGATTGGATTAAGTCAAAAATAAGCGTGGAATATCTAGAGTTTTTTTAGAAACAATGTTGATGTTCCTAAATATACGAGAAACAATCAACAAAAACAAAAATACTATTGAGCTTGGAACACCTCGTTGTGCTGCTTGTATTGAAAGTGCACGGAAAAAGAAGAATAAGGAAAAAAATTCACTGTTAAGTGAGTTTATAGTGACTCAGTCATTTGATTTTCAAACAGAGAATCTTGAGTTGCCTGAAAAGATTAAAACAAATCAAGTGTCGGATTTTCCACCGATATATCGGTGGAAAATCCGACACTTGATTATATTTCAGATATTTCATTCAATGCATTCATTTTTTTCATTCGGTTTATTCGGAGATATTTCATTCGGTGCACCGAATGAAATATCTTCCGGAGAAGGTAAAATGTATAAATTTATATGCACTACCTATTGCAAAAGACAGCATTTTTAAAGTATTTAATTTAAAATCAAAACTCTATTTGGTGGATGATTTATGTCCACAGTAACATGATTTGGATATCCCTGATCATCATATTTGCGTTTTTTATTTAGTGTGAATGAGAAATAAAGTTACATGAATCGCATCTATCTTGGTGTGTTCCAAATTGTTTTTTGTGAAGTTTTTAGTTTGAAAACAATTGTGGATAAAATTGTAAACATAATTAAAAATACTAGATAATATTTCTTTAATTTAGAATATTGTTGAAAATGTACTTTATATTTCATAGATTAGATATTTATTATCTTAATTCGATGTTAGAGACTTTGAAAAAACCAGCTGGGAACTCTGACCCTTCGTACGAAGGGTGAGAGTAGATATTTCAATTTTGCTAAGTGTAGTTTTAAACGACTTCCCAGCTGGTTTTTTCAAAGTTTCTAACATCGAATTAAGTAACATCACGCTCGTGATGCACACAAGACCTTAGTTTCAAATCAAACTTAACACACATAGGATTTTTTTGGTTTTTAATATTTATTAGGGGTTTCTAAGCAATAAATCATTAACAGAAGTTGCACACACGAGGGGTGGAAATAGGGGCAACAGCAAACATCATGGGTGGTACACCTCTTTTTTTAATTTGAAAAAAAATAATTGTTAGCTCAGCAAAAAAAGGTGAAATTATTAACGTACCAAGAACATAAATATCTTAAGATTTTATCAAATTTTGCAAATTGCTAGTATATTAGTGTAGCTTGTGCCTGAACCAAAAATTTTTAGAAAAAATTTAAACGATCAAAAAGGGTACACTTGTTAGTATAAAAAACTATTAATATAACAAAACTAATAACATAACAGAAAATTATTCATTTTTAATTGAAATAGTTTTTACTTATATCATTCGTTATTTTCACTAAAAAAATATGAAATCAATAAAACACTTTTTATCATTAAAAAAAAAATAATTTTTTGCTGAAGTTGATTTTTAAAAAAAAAACGTTTTCTCTATCGCAAGAGTCCGACCTTGTCTCTGTAAATAGTCTTGTAAATAACACAACTTTGACAAGCAATTTTAATGCTTCAACTTTATCAAAGAATCTTACCTTAGTAAATTAGCATCAACTTTAGCAGACTTCAATACCTAATCGAATTTTCTACAGTGTTACATTATGTTGGATAGCTTTGTTTTTAAAAATATAATATACGAAATTACTATGTGCCCTTAATGTCAATCAAGGGGTATTAAACTTTCTACAGATTTGTCTGTTTTACTTGAGTTTTACATGTACAGCCTCTATCTGCTCATAGAGTAAAAAAGGTTTACTCTAGCAAAGAAATCGATGATGGATCTGGTGAGCAATATCAATCAAATGTTAATATGAGATCCATTATTGCCATGAGAGAAATAGGAAAGGAACATGCTGCTTCAACAACCTTTTGTGGATTTATGAATTTACCCCCATTAATGCACAAAAATACATTAAATAATATTCAAAGAAGCATTAATTGTTTAAAAGCAAGTTACTCTAAACAAGGTCTTGGTGAGAACAAGACAAATGTTACAGTTTCATGTGATAGTACCTGGCGAAAGCAAAGATTTTTTTCTTTGAATGGTGTCATGACTATAATTTCTAGTGACACTGGAAAATTTATTGATTACCACATTCCATTTAATGAATCATTAAATAGAATTATTTGGAAAAGATGTCCCAAGGATATTTTTGTTGGAGGAGACACTTTAGAAATAAGCATTTGACATTTTAATTTGACTATTTAATTGGTTTGAGTATTTTTCTTTTTTCTTTTTTTTTCAAGTGGTTTATGTAATTTCAAGTCATAAAAAAAAAAAAAACATTTCTGAAGCCAATATAGATTTGAAACAGCCTGTTTTGCAAAAATAATGCTTTGTTAATGCAGTTTGTAAATAATTGGCTTAAGTTAGATCGAAGCAATTGGTTTTTATTTTTTGTTTTTCTCAAAAAATGATTCTTGAAAATGGTGCGATAAGTAACTTTCCTCAAGTTTCCCAAGTGCTATCGACCTGAAATTAGGTACACTAATTCTATTATATATAATCTATTGGCTGAATTAACACTTCTATTTTTACTCATTCGATTCTTTAGTAAATTGGGCTCAAAATCTGTATTTTGGGTCAACATATTTTTATCATTTTATTGAATTATTATTTGAACAAAAACTTTTCAATAATTTTTTAATTCAACCAATTCAACCATCTTATTAGATGATGTACAATAAAATCCAGCTCAGTATATCTAACCCCTTCTGGAGTTATTTATCGCATCGTAAATATCTTTTTTTTGGTCCCGCGGACCCAAAAAGAGTGTTTTAAAACCAAATTTGAAAATTTAAATAAAACTCCATAGTTTTATACGGTTTTTTATATTGTTAAATTAGAGTGAGTGTTAAGCGAGTACAAAAGATGTTAAACAGATGTCCAGTTTAAAACAAGTCATTGTAAATTAATGTGGGAAAATATAAGGGAAGGGTTGTGTGAGGGGAACAAGTATCTAAAACATATTGCTGATTTTATATTAACAACCAACTTTATTTTTTCCTAACGTTTATATCTTTAATATAAGCTAAAGTTTATACACTTTAAAGTTTATAACCTAAAGTTTATACACTTAAAAAACATTTTGAACATTTTATAGTAAATTAAAATTTGAAGTATATCTTATATACATACAAGAAACAATTTATTTGCAATTTAATATTGACATTTAATGCAAAAGTATACAATAAAATAGGAGAAAATCATTATTTTAGATTTTTAACGCGTTGACTTATTGAGTGGTCCTAGACAATAATAGATATTTATTAAAACTAAAATAGAAGTCTTTAATAACAGCAATCTTTCTTTTATTTTATCCGCCGACGGCTAACAGTTAGCAAACATTTATAAACATATTAAAGCAGAGTCCAGCAGTAATTCAAAGCTATAAATAGCTAAAAATTATCCAAAAATATCGCAAAATTTTAAATAAATTAATAAGAATTTTTGACAATAGAAGAATAAAGAATTCAAATTTTAAATTACGGTTGATTGGACCACAGATGAATGAATATAACATCGTGCACAAACGCGTACAGGATTAAAAAGAGATTCTTCGGGAATGCTAATTTGGTATTTTGAACAACCATCGCAAAATATTCCACCGCATTTTCTAAAATAAAATAAAAAAAAAAACGGTTAAAAAAATATTTGTATAAACTCTATAATTTTAATAAACTTAACCGTTTAATGATTACTACTAGAAATGAGATACTAGAAAGGTATTTTTATGAACACTAATGGAAATTTATTATGAAAAAATCTTCATCAAAACGATTGAAAGTATAACTTCACCTGCAATGGTGGCGTCTATATAGAACCGAAAAGCGGCAACCGCAACTAGAACAAAATGATGACAAATGATCAGGAATCCAACGAACTGGTTGTACATCATCATATTGAACTTGCTCCCAACCTTCCTCATTGCTCACACTTGACAATGAAGATCGTGTACCATTTACGGAGTCTGGTAAAGAAAGCTGCAAAGAGAAAATTAATTAAATAAAAAATCAAACTATAAGAGGGTTGCTTTATCAACGTAGACAAGATTTTTTCATGTTACAGATATGACACTTTCAGACATTGTGCAAACTCCAAATTTAAATATGTTTATGCATGTTGTCAAATGAGATTTTCAAAAAAAAAAAATGCAAATAAACTTTTTCGAAAACAACACACAAAGTTCACTCCCCCTACCCCAAACATGAGTGTAATGAGTTATCAAATTTTTTTTTGCCTAATTAACTAAATTTAATTGATAGGTTTTAAATTTCATCTAATATTCTTTTAACGTTCAAAAGTTATTACCGTGCGAAGTTTTTAAGGGTGTAAATTGGTAAGGGTGTAAATTTTACATGGTCATAACTTTTGAATGTTTAAAGATTATTAGATTAAATTTAAGTATAATTAAATCAAAATATTTTAGCAACTTACTGCCATCGTATTTGGGATAAGGAGAGCAAACTTTTTAAAGTATTTTAGTTCCCAATATCTAATCGCTGCAAATTCTTTGCAACCCATTCTTATTTAACATAAGCATAAACATATTTTAATTTCCAGTTTTCAAAATGATTATAAACGTCATAAATAAAGCATGAAAAAAACCTACCTATGGCTTTATAATTATGGCAAAATTTTTTGCAAAGAAAATTAGAACCTTAATACGGAATAACAATGTTTTAATAATGATTTATTGATTGAATTTTATATATTTTATCAATGAACTTAAGCCTAACTAAGCTCCTTTTAGCATAACAGTGCCCAAAAACCTGTTTTGCAGATAAGGGCTGAAAATTTTTGTGATGCAATCACTAAAAGATTACAATTTAAGATTTAAAATTCTCCTCTACCCTTACACACAGTTATACTGGCGGATTAATATAAAGGTTTTCCTTCTTCTAGATTGTTAAAACTAAGGCAACCTAAAAGAAGCAACCTTTATTTTCTATGTATAATACCCATACATTTTTATTTTTTATGAATTCTAGTCCTTTTTTCAAGCCAACCTAGTTGGCTTTATTTTAACAAACATTTGCTTATAATAAAAAAAATTTTGTCTAAAAAATGCATTGTTGACTGTTTTTAAATTTTAAAAGTTTAAAATTTAAATCAGTAAAAATAAAATTGATTAACAATAATAAACAAGTAATAAAAAGAAGAAAAAAAATCTTATTAACCTTTTATTTTTTGTTGTGTATTGGTTGTAATTTAAAACTTAAATAAAATATACCTGGTCATCATTTAAGATATGTGGCAGATTATATGCAGAATTGGGTGATCCATTTTGAAAATTTTGATGCTGCAAATATATGCGTGCTTGTCTTTCTTGCTCTAGTTTTTTAAAAATTCTATTCATTTCTTGAGTATGATTTTTTGCAATTTCCATAAGCTGTTGATCATAAAAACAATAAGAAACAGTTAAACCATCAGTGTCTAAAAATTTACTAAGGTCTTTTTGAAATGGGTTTTTTTGATTAGAGCTAACTTTTCCATCACTTGCACCCATTGATGATGACATTACATCTGGAAACGACTTTGTTCTAGAAAGCATGCTAGATAAAGGTGGAGATTCAGGTGAACTATGAGCTCGGCGTATTACTCCGCTTCCATGACGAGATAAATTGGTTAAATTTGTATCTAATTGTAATGGTTTGAAACTTTCATCAAAACTTTTTCTGCGTTCATTTTCATTAGTTATAGTCCGAACACTATCAGTCATTTTCGGAGTGTCTATTTTCTCATTTTCAGAATTGTCTAAATCGTCTTCACTATCCCTATATAAAAATTTGTTATCTCTATTTATATAATCGTCTAAAGGTTCATTGGCTGACTCTTTAATTTCATCTATATTTTCAATTATTCTCCAGTCATTTGATTCATTTAAATCCGCAATACTTAATAAATTAGCATCATTGTTTGCAAAAGATTTGCTTTTTTTACAATAATTATCATTTATCGAATGTCCATTCTGCATTATAAAAGTTTCATTATTGATAGAATTATTTAACTGCTGAGCTGAACTATAAGATGTAATGAAACCATTAGGTTCTTTGCAACTTTCTCCATTAGCAGTAAAATTTCCTGAGTCATTAAGTTCAAGCTGTGTTAAATCAACTAAGTCTTTTTGAGGTATACTTGTTTTCGAATATTGATGTGAAGTAGTAGTAAATACAGATTCCCACAGTCTTAAATCTTTAACATGATAACTTGGGTACAATACCTGATAAACAATTTCACAAATATATTGTTTTGTAAAATATATTTTATTAAATAAAGTGTACATAATAAGTTTGTTAATTGAAAACGATTTTTTTAATTTTTATAATTTATGCTACATGCCACAACAACACCTAACTAATAAAAAGACATTCAAATTATACAAATTCACAAATTAAATTAACTAATAAAACATTGTTAACTAAACTAACTTTACTATATATTGCCTAGTTGTAACCCACCTGCAGGCATCTACCTAGTTGAGCCACAGCTAATAGATGTCTATATAAAGTGCTTGATGTGAGGCGGGATGGTATTTTCAGTTTATTGAAAACCATCCGGCTACTTTATTTTCTCCATTTCAAGCACTGACTATATAGATAATCAAGATGGTTAAATGCAGACATGTTATCTAAAGTATTCTAGGTAAATATCGTATAAAGATCTTATAATGATTTTTGGTAAAAATAAATAAAGAGGAAAAAGTTAAATGTAAAAACATATATTACTATAAAACTATAAAATTAAATGTTAACTTATACAATTTTAAGCACCTATTTTTTAAGAACTTTATATTATTGGTATGTCAAATGATTACCTCAAGATAGGAAAATAAGTAAACAATAATTTAATTTTACTCAACAAAAACTCTATAGGTAACACAACCTGTTTAAAAGAACTACTTGCACATTTTTTAAACTTAAAATAACCATACGTTTGATTTCATCAAATGCATTTATTAAAGCAAAACTCAAACTACATTGTTCATACCTGAAACACCCTGTCAGATACAACCATTAATCTCAATAACTGCCTCTCTTTTTCTTATATTTTAGATTCATAGAGACACTCCACACCACCAACCATATAATCAGAATTATATACAATATATAACTCAGGTGTTGTTTTATAATGTTAGCCTATACGCATTTTACACATAAAACTTGCATTTTTATGTGCACATATAATATTTTGTAATAAGGCTAAAAAAAAAAATTAATTTTTATTAGCCTTATTTTTTTGACCAAAATATTCAACAATAGAGGAAAAAAACTAACTTTACCCCAAAATATTTTTGGGGGCAAAGAAACAATCAATTTTGAACAAAAAATTTTGTTCAAAACCCATTGTTCTTCGAAGTCCATGGTTCCACACTGTTTTATTTAGTTTAAGCGACTTTTTACTACTAGATGACCTTCTGGTCGTTAACCTCTTGCAGGTTAGAACTGAGTATTTTTATTGTGATACTATAACTAGGAAGATTACCAACTTACAAGCTTACATGCCCCTCCTACTCACAATTGAGTAGCTTTTTTATATCAGAGTTTTTCTTTTTCTAAGTGAGATAGCTTCATCATGACTAAAGAGCATTACCTGCCCTAATATTTTGATTATGTTGCAGACTAAATAATAATTTTACTTATATTCCTCTGCTTTAAAATTTTTGAAAAAAATGTCATGTGCACTTAGGTTATTATTATTAAAGGTGAAACAGTTTTTATAATTAAAAAAAAAAAGAAAAGAGTAGTTGGAATTAAAAAATTATCTTTAAAAAAAAAACGCTCAGGTGAAATTTAAAAAATTTAAGTTTGGCAATAAAATTTATTATTGAACTTAAAAGCTATGGTAAATAAACATTTATTACTAGATGCTTGACAATAACATATTTCAAAACTTAAAAACTGTTTGACAAGCAGACCTATATGAAAAAATTATATGTACCTTAGTTTCTTTTGTATAGATATAGTTGATAAAGTCTTTTCTGCATGATAAAAGCATGTCCCATAATGAGAGCGTTTTTGACTTAACTTTGTTGTTATGCCTATCATGTGTACTGTTACATAAAAATGTTCCATACAAACAACTATAAACATGTTGCACAAGTTTAAGCTAAATAATATATACAATCAACATTACAGATCTAAAACAATAACCATCCACCATTAAAATTCATGTATAAAATGCTTTACCAGAAAAAACTCATTAAACTCGAATGCTGAAGGAAACTGTCTTATAAGCTGGTAAACTGCATCTAACCATTGTAAAAACACTGGACTTTTTTCGTTAATGTCTCTTTCTTGACTATGTCCACAACGATCTGCAAACTTATGACCAAATTCCAACCATTCTCGTTCAATAAGAACATGAAATCCCTGTATATAAAACATAATCAAAACACTGATCAAATAAAAGTAAACTAAATTTTAATTTCATACTATTAATGATTTTGTTAAATGTTTTCCTTTTTAAAAATTATAATATATAAATACATATATATATATATATATATATATATATATATATATATATATATATATATATATATATATATATATATATATATATATATATATATATATATATATAATATATCTATATAATATATTTATATAATATATATATATATATATATATATAAATATAATATATTTATATAATAAATATATATATATATATATATATAATATATTTATATAATATATATATATATATATATATATATATATATATATATATAATATATTTATTATATAAATATATATATATATATATATATATATATATATATATATATATATATATATATATATATATATATATATATATATATATATATATACAAATATGTACACACACACACACACGCAGTTTGGCATTTGGCAATGCCGACCTAACTACTGACCTAAAGGGGTTTGACCTTGTTTCTATGTTTTATAGTAAAAAATGTGTTGAAATATTTTTGTCAACCTCTAACAGTTTAAGGTCGGCACTTATTTGCCAACCTCAATTTTCTTAATTTCGAGGGCTGATATATCTATGTATATTTGTGTGAGTTTTTTTGCAAAAAAATGACCTTTTTTAACCTAAAAATGAAAAAAGTGTATTTTTTTGATAATTATCTAAAAAAAAAATTCAAATAATAATTTTTTTATAAAATGATTGTTTTTTTTTTAATTTTTATATAATTTCGCTTCTTTTGAGACTCAACATGACATACTTTTGAAAAACTTTTTTTATATAATATTAGGGACCTGGTAAGTATTCAAGGGTCTGGTGCTCCCCTAAATCCAATAAAAATTTGAAAAAATTTAATAAAGTTGCTCGTGAGAACCAATATAAGGTTTTAAGAATATAAACAGATCTTTTTTAGAATATAGGGGGTGTATGTCACACCCTAATACAATGGTTACAAATAAAATCATTCTTTCATTTTTTTTAAATAAAAAAATCATTTTTAGTTGCCAAGCCCCAATTGGAAGTTAAAAAAAAATAATTTCAAAAAATTTAACAATTCATATATGCAAATGTCAAGAAAATAAATAAATTTGTTTATATCAAACATTTAAAAAAATTCAATAATAAATTTAATTATATAAAATAAAAATAAAAAATTAAAAGAAAACAAACATTCTATAATAGTTGTAATAGAATGTCTTTAAAAAAAAAAAAAAGAACTTTATGACGTTAAATTCACATTAGGCTAATGCATTGAGCATTTTTTATTTAAAACAAGGCCTGCAGATTGATCTCTGAAGGTGGACTACATCTCATAAAAGACACACTATCCAGTGTTGCTGAGCTGGATGTGATTGTTTTCTTAGTGCATCAGTGAAAGACTGACCTGGAATGAGAAAAAGTCCAGTCTACAGTCATCAGACTACAACACCTAAATAACTGTGCTGAACAGAGTATAGCAATCATTGAAAATTTAAGAACACCACTAAGGATCAAAATCAAAGAAGTATTTTCTAAAAGTACTTAAAAGTACCACAAAAATCAGCAAACTAAGAACTTAAGAACAGACATACATTTGGTAAAGCATCAAATCTCCACTTGAAACAAACTAATCTATAGCTTAGATTTATACTTTGTTAGAAATTATTAATTTATATATTGTATATGTTTTATTGTATACATTTTATTAATAAAAAGTGTACTGTTTAGCATTAAAGCTCATTGAATAAGCACTCATCAGATATTTTTACTACTGTTCAGAAATAACTATATTTTTAACAAAGCATTCAATTTTTAAAGTGTGTGAGAAACTCATAAAACAGTTCCCATGATGCTAAACATTTACCTCGAATTATAACTCACCAAAAAGAAACATTTTAAAGAGTTAGAAATATACATTTTAAAGGGTTTTTACACCTTAATATATATATGCAATGACTTGGTCATCCAGTAATACGCAATCATCAGAATTAGGAAAAATTAGGTCGACAATAACTTGCCAACCTCAATCTTTTAGAGGTCGACAACAAAATTTGGTACAAAGGTTTTACCATAAAATATAGAAACACTTTAAGATTGGAAAATTTTAAAATAAAAAATGCCAGTGAATAGCCCACCAAAACAACCAGATAGTTATTACTAAAAAAATGGTGTTTAATAACAAAATATTGAAACATAAAGATTTACTTTTTATGATTATTTTAAAGAAACTTTAAAAAAGCATTTAAAGTGGTTATACACTATGTTAAATTTTTATTAAACCATTAAAATTGTATTAAACCATAATAAAAAGAAGCCTACTTGAATTAAATTAGACACACAAGCAAATGTTTTTAAAATGTGTTTTAAAATGTTGTAGTTGAAGTGTTTTCACTTCGAAATGCATTCCACAATCACATTTTCTTCCAATTCAAAATAGAAATGTATTATTTTAAAACAATAAAGTAACATTTTGAATCAAGTTGTCTCTTAAATTCAAAAAGCATTTTAAAATCAAATTTTCAATTAAAAAAGTATAATTTTTAAAATCACAATTACTTTTTAAACTTTTAACCATATGAATGTGAATCATTAATATTCCTTAACCTTTAGTTTATCATAGTGAAAATAATTCTTTATTTAAACTTTATCAAAAAAAAAACATTATTAATGATGCATTTAGAATTCTTTTTTTTTTTTTTAAATTTTAACCATTTAAACTAATTCTCTTTAATATGAACACAACTAAAAACAATAAAAACATTCTCTTTATTATGAACACAACCTGTCTCTGCACTTTGAGATCCCCTTTATTTTTTTGTTTGCATGTAGAATTCTTTTTTTTAAAAAAAAATTTTTTTTTAAATTAAAAACATTTTAACTAGTTCAAACTAATTCTTTTTAATATTTACACAACTAAAATAATTAAAATATTCCCTTTATTATAACACAACTTATTTCTTGCACTTTGGGATCCCTCTAACCTTTTGTTTATCATAGTTAATATTTTTATTTAAAATTTGTCAAACAAAACATTATTAATGATGGATTTAAAAAAAAATCTTTAAATTAAAAATATTTTAACTAGTTTAAATTAATAAAATATCAAGTAAGAATAATAAAATCTTTTTGAACTTTATATGTTAAATAATTTATTTTTAACGAAACAATTTTTTATTAGTTATATTTTAGTAGTCCAAAGTATTTTAACAAATTTTTTTCTTTCTGTTGTTGAGGAAAACATATTCTTAAATAAATCCTTTTTTGTACTGCTTTAAACTCACAATATTTTGAACTTGCTTTTATTGCTGTTGCCTATCAAACCGTTAAATTTAAAACATAAAAATTATTTTATTTAAAAGCTTCAATCTGTTTTTTCTGTTCTAGTTGTGCTTAATGATGGTGCTGGTAATATTAATGCTATGAAACCTGCATTATTTCACTGATAGTGTGTGTTATTATATTTAGATTTTTCTTAAATACATACATAATATCCTAATGGATGACTTTAGTAACCATAGTAGATGACACCCTAAGGGCAACTGGGAAACATGAGGTTACACCACTGTGCATATATCAGCAATATACACAGCGATTGTTTGGGCGGTACAGTCATAAAAACAATTTAAAAAAAAAAAAAACTCATTTTTTTTAGTTAATAATTATGAATATAAAATGCCCCTATTGTTAATAATTTTTAAAAGCGATAATTTTAACCAGTGGTCAGGGGTAAAAAAAACATGTCTTAAACACCTTATATATGTCTTGACCCAGCTGGGTAGATATTTAAATTCAGGCCTAATTAAGAAGCGTTAGACAGCATACATTTTACGCTTGAAATGGTGATTTTATCTATGTAGGTAAAACTGTAGCTGAATATCTAAATTGTTTTTTGATATAGTTGAAGCCTTTATTTGTGCAAAAATAGTAAGACTATGTGAGTCGTCATCATGGATTCATATGTGTAAAAGCAACCATAAAACTTCATTTTTTTGTTTTAAGAATGGAGAAATGCTTTTGTTTTAGAGAATTTTTTTCACCAATAAAATTAAAACTTTTGTTTATATATATATATATATATATATATATATATATATATATATATATATATATATATATATATATATATATATATATATATATATATATATCATATATATATATATATATATATATATATATATATATATATATATATATATATATATATATATATATATATATATATATATATATATATATATATATATATATATATATATAAGTAATATATATGAACAAAAATTATGTTTACATATATATGTATTTAATGAACATTAAATACATTTATAAAAAAAATAACCAAACGATTATTAGGGTAGAGCAGGGCATATAGGGACACTTAAGAAACAAATGCTAGTTGGACAGTTAAAAAGCAGCAGTTATTTGTTAATTGCAAAGCGTTACAAATGCTAAAAAATGAAGGCTATCTATTATTTTAAAATGTTCAGATATTAAATTCTCAAAAAAGTAACTTACTTATATAAACTGAACACCCATATATCCATACACCACAAAAAAGAAATTACAACTACAATAAAAAAAAAAACTTTTTGTGTTTTATTATAAAATACCTCTGCTCTACCCTAACCTATATATTATTAAATTGGTAACTAAATTTAAAATTAAACATAAAATATTATGAAATTTTGAAAAAACTTACTGATGCATTTTGGTACTTTTAATTGTATTTTTAAAATTAAATTTTTTTCACAATAATGAAGCAAAATAATTTAAAATGTTTGATAAAAAAAAAATCTTAAAAAAAAAGATTTTAGACTGAGATATAAAACTTTAGGCACAACTGTCCCGTTATACCCCAAGTAACGATATGCCCTGCTCTACCCTATGTTATACCCCACATAACGATATGCCAAGCTCTACCCTATGTTATACCCCACGTAACGATATGCCCTGTTATGTTTAAACATGTTTAAGAAATATAATCTTTTTCAAATATCAATTCATTCAATATTTCATTCAGTAATTTTTATTATAGTAAAAGATTTTAATGTGATGTAAAATAAAATGCAATTACAATGTGGTGTTTTAAAATATGTTAATGACTGTTATTAATTTTTAACGATATAAAAAACTGCTTAAATTCACATAAATATAATTCCATAAATAAAACTTATAAACAAGCAATAAGACTCACCACTCTAATTATAGTTATAAAACATTATGTATGGCTAACAAAAATTTATTTACATGTTAACTTGTTTTTATTTAATAATGTTGGACTTTAGTAATATTGAAATTTATAATTTTTGGAATTTTTAGTTTGGGCGCATTAAATTGGGCACCCATACCAGTCCAGTTAAATGGTATAGGATAACTCTGGGTACTGTATACATCAGTCTTTTCCATTTGTCCAGCACAAGTGTATAAAAAAGTGCATGCTAAAAAAAATTAAGGATTTTTTTAAAATTGCAGTAAATCTTTTTTTGTTCATCAAATACTTTTATGAAAAATCATGAAAACGCTTTTATGCATGAACTATTTAAAAGTTAATAAAAAGGTTTTGCTGTTTTAATTTTAATTATCTTATTTAGAATTTAAATAAAAAGTTAATTTTGCTGTGAGAATTTAAATAAACTGCTTTTTTTTTTTAATTATTTTGCCTTTTTTATTTTAATTTATTCAAAACATTCTTTGCGCAATTTTTATTTTTATTTAAATAGCAAAAAAAGATGAATTTCTAAAATCATGCACACCAGTCTAAAATTGACTGTTTGGTCATTTGACTGATATATATATATATATATATATATACATATATATATATATATATATATATATATATATATATATATATATATATATAAATGAAATGGTATTATTATAAATATGTACTTTAATAGTCCTGTAGTAAGGATCCAAAAGCAACTCAGAGAGTGACACTATTTGTGTGGTACGATCCCATCCATCTGAACAATGAACAAGTACAGATTGAGCTCTAATATCAATAGATTCTACTATAGTGAGTGTAGCTCGTAGTAAAGCAGATAAGTACTGAAGCCATCGAGTGTTTTCAAGAGATGAATACCAACTTTAAAAAAAAAATGAAATTGAAAATATTTCGCTTTGTACAAAAAGTTTAGTTTAAAAAAAAGAAATTTAGTGAAAAAAAAAACCCACATACTTAAGCTGTTCTTTCCCTAAATAACAAAGAGTGCGTACACTTTGAAAACTTTTACGTATTACATGTATGTTTGGGAGATTCATAAATTGTATGTCACAATTTGGATAATACTCTAAACAAATAGAATATTTCTTTACAACACAATAATTTTATATCCACTAGTACATATTACAAAACAAATTTTTTCACTTATAATAAATATTTCAAAAAAATAATGAAATGTAATTAACAAAGTATAGTTTTGTTCAATTATATATATATATATATATATATATATATATATATATATATATATATATATATATATATATATATATATATATATATATATATATATATATATATATATATATATATATATATATATATATATATATATATATATATATATATATATATATATATATATATATATATATATATATATATATATATATATATATATATATATATATATATATATATATATATATATATATATATATATATATATATATATATATATATATATATATATATATATATATATATATATATATATATATATATATATATAATCTTGTTTAACTAAGAAACAAGATGTAATGATATATTATATCATTACATACAAAACAAAATTCTGTTTTCCATTTATGGAAAACAGAATTTAATTTTGTTTTAAATGTGAAATTGAACTAGATTGAGCAATAAAAACCACCAGACAAACATGAAAAACTTATGAAAAAATTTATTAAACAAATTTTAGATTTCTTAATATGTGAGGAAAAGGTCAGGACCACCAGATAAAGTTGTGAAAATCTCAGAATCCCATCATAGACTAAAACTTAGTTCTTCATTAGATTTTTTGAGAAAAAAATTAATTTGAAATTTGAGAAATAAAATATACCACTGCTATAAATACTGTTCTTTGTTATGGATATTAAATGAATTACAACACCGTGTTAATTTACTAGCAAAAGGCTTCAAATAAACATATTTATGATTGATATACTATGAGATATAATATATTATATTATATATTACTAGAGATAATATAATATTAATATATTAAGAGACAGATTTATAATGGAGAAAAGTTGTTATTTTGACATTGATTATTGTTAGACTAGTCCTCCACATTAATATTTCTCTTTCTTATTTAGAAATTTATTTAAAAGACTCAATTTCAAGCAACGATGTATAAGTTGTAAGATAATATTCACTTTATAGCTTTACTGTGACAGAGCACTGTTTGTTGTGACTGAGAAAAAACACATCAGGTATGCTATGATGTTTTGTTACATAACAAAACCTAAAAATCTTTTGCTGATTTTCTAATAGATTAAGACTTTAGGTTCAATGTCAAAATTTGATGTTGTCAAATCCTTTGAGAAAAAAATTTTTCTCAAAGAAACCTTTAAGAAAAACTTTAAGTTTTTCTCAAAGGTTTTGACAAAATAGTGTAAATGATTTTTAGAGGGGGGTACTTCAGTTTAAACAAAGTACTGTTGAGAAAAAATCCTGTTGATTCAAGCAAATTTAAGAAATAAAAGTTATTATAAATACCTTTTGAAGCTTTGTTATATTATTAGATATAACAAAGATATTAAACAGATATTAAACAGATTACAGCATTGTGTTAATTTAGTTGCATTAGACTTCAGATAAACATGCTTATGATGGAGATAATTTGTTATTTTGACATTTTGAATAATGTTAGACCAGTTTTCCACATTAATATTTATCTTTATTATTTAGGAATATTTTAAAAGATTATACATCAATGTCATTACAAACTAAAAATGTATACACTACAACTGATGTCACAAAACAATATTTACTCTAAATATAGTTTTGTGACATCATTCTTATTTACTCTAAACATAGCAGCATTTTTGTTGACTTTTAAACATTTAGCAAAAGTGTAACCATTGGTAACAAAAATTTGTTTTGGCCATTTTAAAATAAAAAAATGATCATAACAAATTTTGAACTATTGAACTAATTGAACTATTTTAAAATAAAAAAAATTATCATAACAAATTTTGAACTATTCAACTTAATTATCCAATCGAGATATTTACTATGAAGGTACAACAAAATCCATATTGGCAGATGTGGGAAAAATATAGGGAATTTTAGGCTGAATTTCAAAGTGCCTTAATTTTTTAATCATTTGGATTTAGGAGCTCAAATTTTTACATTTCTTTTTTTTTTTCATATCTTGTTGATGGATATTACTGGTTAAAATTTGAAAAAAATTTGAGGGGATGACTTTCAAATTTTATTTTTAGCCTTACTTTTACATGGAATTACCCATTATAGTAAAAAATATACAAAAAATTTAACCAAAATATATATTTACAAAAAGTAAATTAAAAAAATATTAAAAACACAAATCAAAATCAATAGAATACCTTGACATTCACAACCTCCTCCTTTTGCTCTGTTGGCAACAGCTGATGCATAAGATCGTGCATCAACCAACAAAAATGTCTGTTTAGAAGTGGAAGACATATCAGTCACTAAAACATAACTTAAAATGTTTTTTGCTATGTTAGTAAAATGATAAAACCTTAAATATTTAATTACTATATTATTTAGATATTTTATAAATATAGCTATCAGTAAGGTACATATATATATATATATATATATATATATATATATATATATATATATATATATATATATATATATATATATATATATATATATATATATATATATATATATATATATATATGTATATGTATATGTATATGTATATGAAAATGTATATGTATATGTATATGTATATATATATATATATATATATATATATATATATATATATATATATATATATATATATATATATATATATATATATATATATATATATATATGTATATGTATATGTATATGTATATATATATATATATATATATATATATATATTTATGTACCTATACAAATGAGTGTTACATGTAACAAATATAAAGGTGGTAGCATATATATATATAGTTATTTAAGATAAAATGTCTGGCGTCACACTGAAATAGCCTGCTGTCAGGGGCTTCAGTACATACATAGATCTTATAGCCTGCTGCAGCATAGGAGTGCTGCTACACACACAAATATATATCACCTTCAGTACACACATCAAATGAGAGTTTAGGATTGAGGGTTTAATATCAGCATTTAAAAAAAGGATCTATACTGTGCTAATCTAGAATTTAAAAAAGTTTATCAATAAAATGTTTGTAAAGTGTGGGAACTGTTTGATAAGAATAGTACCAAGATGGCTCATAAAAAGGTTAACGTAGGATGGGCTCATACGCGCTCCCATGCTAGTACTATGGATTTGTCGATAATGTTGGTAATTGAATATGAAAATAGTGTTGGTAAATATGGTACCAAGTATAAAAGAAAAAAGCTTATGAGGTAGGCATTATAAAGTAGTCTGTCCTTCGGTGTCCTGTCCATGTAAAATTTTACCACTTCAATGTCTTTGTTATGTAGAATATTAGTATAAAGTGTGATAACATCTACAATGATGAACATCAACTCAGTAAGGTGAATTTGTATTGTTCAAGAATAGAAAGGTACTGGTTGGTATTCTTAAAATATGCTGGAAGTGATTCAACAAGAGGTTATATAAGTTTGGTGATAAAAAGTCTGAAGGATCATTGCAAGTTGAAACATATGAGGGTAATGGAACATTTGATTTGGATTGTATGGATGTGGCTTTTTCTTCGCCAATGTTGTTTTTACTTAGCGAAAATTTGATAAGTAATATGTTGTTGTAGGCAAATTTAAGTTGTATGGTAGTGGGTGGTAGGTTTTGTCATTCAATAGCAAATCTTTAATTATTTTTTTTCATAACTAATTGTATTCCAAGTTTTTCAAGACTTTTTTGTTTAGTTAGATTATGAAATTTAGCTTGTCTGCTGTCAAGAGTGGGTACATTTTTTTAAACAGTTTTAAAAAAATCAGTCATAATTGCATTTTTGTGGGGTGCTGGGTTCCATTCATATTAGCATTTCCTTTTTATTTCTTGATAGCAACTAAATTCTATTCTGTATATATTGTCCAACCATATTATAACCAATGCCCACGACCAGAACTTGTATTTTAGGTTCCGTGAGTAAACTATTGCAAAGGTTTGTGACAATTTTATTGTTAAGAACAGAAGTTGCTAAAGAGTCGCTTCTCTTTGATACACCTATTATATTAATTCTTTGTGAGATGTTTATGTCCATTAACTGGAAGAATATCTTTCATTCTGAAAGTGTTGAATATATGTTCGTTGTTTGAGGCAGTAAACTGGTATTGGTTGGTGTTTTGCTAGTGGATAAATAATAAAATAGTAGATAGTGTTAGTATATGGTGCACATACAGTAACAAAAAATGTAACAAACAAAAACAAGGTTAACAACATAAAGATCTAAGCAACATCAAATGAAGAAAATGCCATAAAAACAGATGCTCATAGCAACCTGGATCATAAGACAATAGCCTCTTTGGGAATTTAACAATTGACAAATCTAAAAATTAATGAATGGCAACAGCAGCAGTAGAAGTAGCTTGTCTGGAAGATAAACAGACAGATTGATATGATGTGTAAGATTTTGCTGTGTATGTTATGTATGTGTTATTTGTTATAATTTAATTTAATAACATATAATTTGTATATAATTACTTAAATAAGGTGGATCATAATGGGTCGCCTATGCTTATAGACGCAGAAAAAATTTAAAGATCTAGATAGTACACAAGAATGTACTCTAAATGCGAAAAATCAAATATAGAATGTTGTATGCATACAAATCATAAAATATAACAAGTAGCCTTAATTAAATAATTCACTTAACAACGACCGCAACAACCAAATTTTCCATATAAGGAACATTTATAAAATGATTTAAAATTATTGGGGAAAAAATCAAAATAACTTTTTTTTAATAATCGGAGTTATTACCCAAAAAAAAGTTTTGAGAAAATGTATTTTGATCATTATTCTCTAACTTATTTTTAAAGCGCTATACAGTTATAGAGTTGATTTAGTTATATGTTAAATAGTACTTAAGTAATAAAAGCTTTGATAAAATCTGCTTTAAACAGACATATAACTTTTTAAAATAAGCGCTTGAGATGACTGATCAAAATATGTTTTCTCAAAACAATTTTTTTTTGCGTGACATAAAAATTAAAAAAATTAAAA